GTTGTTCAATGAAATCCATGTTAACTTCGATGCACATCTAACCATAAAATATATATTCAACGCTAGTATACTCTATTATATATAATTTGAATAATATATTTTCAAATTTTAAAAAATAAATTAAAAATATTGTTAAATGGAAAATCTCGGACTAAACTTTAATAAAAACAACTTACCTATGTTGTTTTTGTTGAAGTACGGTGAATTTAATATCAACAATAAAACCATAATATTACACAAATAATAAGTACAAAATAAAGTAACTTATTTTATTGAATCAAAATAATTATGTTACTGCGATAACCGAAGACTACAATTCTAATATGAATATATAAACAATTAGTTTATTTTATATTTTACTAATGATGTATAACTTTTATTACGTATAAAAGTAACTATATTTTATTTAAAACCCCAAGATTAAAATATATAATTTAAATTTATGGCAATAAATTTTATCGTATTATAAATACTTTTAACTTTATTATTACTTACTTCATTATTTTTATTAGTTGAAAATGTAAAATAATGTTTTAATTAATTATGTATATTATATAGTTACAAATATATATTTGACCACTATTTATCTTGATGAAGCTCAAAAATGTTGTTTTTTTTTATGTTCGTAAATTAATTTAAAAAAATAAAAACTGTTTGAGAGCTCATATTCACATTTGAGATAATAATATTAAGATACTTTAAATAAACTCAGATTTTGAACATATGAAAACAATTTAAAAAAAATTTTCAATGTGCCACTATAACTTTACTATATAGCGAGTACATATTTTATACTACTGACCTCATTAATTTAAAAAAAAAAAACAATCTATAAATTACTGGAAATAACGTATTTTAGTGATTGATATAATATTTATTATTTTTAATATATTATCGTTATAATTATTCAAATATTTATGTAATATAAGTGAAATCTAAATAGTTTTACATAATATTATGTGTTCATTAATTTTGTTTGGTTTTTCAATATTGAATTAGTTCTAAGCTCATTCAATAATAAATTAATGATGAAATCATATACGTTAAATACCTTATAGTTATTTTATATCATAACAATGATTTCAATAAATACTAAACATATTTTACATTAAATATATTAATTTTTTTTTTTTTTTTTTAATGCTACTAGAACCAACATAACGATATTTGAATAGTATATACCTATGTGTGGTTGTTTGATTTAGGATGCAATTACGTATATTAACTTCATCAAATTATAAATTATCCAACTTAAACCGCACTTGCACCAATTAGCAAGCATTAATCATATTTGATATTAATATTTTAACCTTAACGACAAAAATTTGCCTCACGAACAATATGATAATTATTAGTCATATAATTATTATAAGATAAACTTTTTGAACTTCCTTAACGATTGACCATCCCTCTACCATAGTTTGTAAAATTAAATAGCTCAAGTTGTATGATTTTATTTGAATTATAATATTGTACCATTGTATTGTATGAACAAAAGTTGTAGACCGTGGAAAGTTCAGGGTTCGTAGTCACTTTTGTTCAATATTGCAATTACGATTATCTAAATAATTTATTATAATATTACTTGTTAAAGTTGTATTTTGATTTTTTTGTTATTTTTCATTTCATTTTTTTTAGAATATTATTGTTCTAGTATTTAAAATGTAAAATAGTCGATGTTAAAATGGTAAATGGTTTGGTCGAAAAATTTTATTTGGTTAATTAATTTAATCATTTATAAGTTTTAATTATAATATTATACTAATTCCATAAAATTATATGTACCCACGTCTCCTAGCAGAAACAAATTATAAATAGATAAAATTTAAGATAACATGTTAAAATATTTATTATTTTTATTAGAGAACATATCTAAGGTAATATTTGTAATTATAAGAGTGATATAATATTTCTGATAAAAATCTAGTTTGTAGTAATAGTTCTTTAAATATTACAAACGATTTACTTATTTCTTACATCTTTTGTTGACTTAATTGATTTTGCAAATTATTCTAATTTAACAAAAGACGATATAACTTAATTTGATTCATAAACTATAAAATAGGTTTACGAAACAAATACCAATGTAAAAGGCAAATTATGCGTTTAGATTGTAAAACTAACTAAGGTAATTTAACACTGTTTTGTATAATAATATTGCTTTAAAGTTTAAATGATAGTCTTACCACTCTTTCCTCTTATAAATTTGATATCATTTTAGCGTTTCGAAAATTTAGACAACGAACAATTTAGTGTAATATCTGAATATATTTCACTAACTAAATAAAATTATATTTAACAGTTAAAAGTTATGTATTTTGAGTAGAAATGTATGGTTAATTATATTATTATCGATAGTATTCTCGAAACTACAAATTGAAATATAATGTAGATCATTACACTTGTACAAAGTTAATTAAATATAAAAATAGATGATGAACAGCTGTTATAATATCAAAAACTATATAGATTGGTACAGCAAAAATAGATTAGTTGTTAAATTGATTTGTCGTTCATTTTTTTTTTAAATCTAGAACAGCAAACAGAAATGTTTAAAAAAAAAAAATAGCAAGGTATAAGCTCAACGTGTTTGATATTTGTAAAATCTCGATAACAGAAAAGTAATTTATTCAAACAAACGAGGAATTTAAAAAGGTAAAATAAATAACTAGAAATATGCATGATTCTCAAAGAAAAGCATTTTTTTTTTTTTGAGCAACGGTGAAATGTCAAGAGTAGGTAAATAACTATTTATAGTGAAGATTTTATTCAAACAATATTCAAAAACTTTTTTAAACTAACAAATGTTATTACATTCAGTTAGTTGAACTATCTCAAACGCATGCTCGTGTTATAACAAGTTAAAAATGATTTGACTACAAAATAGTTAGATATATAAATAAACAGTTATTTAAAATGTATAGAGCATATTAATTCATTAGTAAAAATAATAAAGCTCCCTTACGTATTTACTTTCTAAGCAACTAAAACAAAAACAAAATAAAAATTATACACAATGCATTGGTGGTATTTTCACTTTCATAATATGACATAACTACATGGAATTGAGTAAGCAATATAAATCTTAAATATTTTCGAATCTCCTGAAATTATATTTTGGGATTAATATTAAATAAAATCTGTTTTTACTATTAAAAATCTGTATGAATTATTTAATTTTCACACTATTAGTGAGCTTTTCTACAAAACAAAATATTGTCATCGCTTCTGAAATATAGAATAGTAAATCAAAAACTATTATGACCCAATTTTAAAATTATAATAATATAAGTATTATATACAATATAACATATATACGTACTCATAAGGTCTATAAATCCTCTATTCAAGCTACTTTTACATATATTAGTCTAAGTATTTTGAATAGCGTCTCTGAAGAATTACGTAATTTAAATTACAATATATTTAAATTAATTTAGCTACTTGATTTATTCAACAAACTTTAACTTATATTGCTCTAATTTTACAATCCACTACACTTAAATTTACCTCTTATTATAATATACGAGTATATATTTATAACTATTTTTGTTTATCTGTACATAATATATGTTATATTTATTTAGTTTTGGACTTTCTTGTAATACTAATAATTATTAAATTATTTATGTAAAGTTATTTTTTATTTATTATTATAAATGACACTTCATAAACCCCCACAATAGCTTGGCCAGTGGGACCATTATTGTTTTATGTTACGATGATATTGTTTATAAGTTAATATTATACTAGTTATCAATATTATAATAATGATTATATAATATAAATGATTTATTTTTTGTGAAAATTCGTTTAACATAACTTTTTTATAGTTACTAGTAGTAAGTAGCAATATACTAAAAATACAAAATAATATACTTAAAGCATAATAATGATGAAGGACTGATTACCTCCACTCAAAATCGTTTACTGTATGTAATGATTTACCATTGACTCAAAATATTTAACACGTCATTACAGTGACTAATGCAATTTTAAAATATAACACTTGACAACTTTTCTATAAAAAAGCAAATTAACTATTTTTTTTTTTATATTGTGTATTATTCTATCATTATTTATTTACATAATATTTATTAATGTATTGGTATATATAGTAATTTAAATTTACATGAACTTCAATGAGTTTGTATCGTAATAGGTTATGGAATATTAAATATTAATACAGGATCATAACATTTTTTAATGTATTGGACTGTGTATTTTGTGTAGTGTTGGATCTTACGTGTGCGGGTAATGGAAAGCACTAGTAAGACCCATACTGGTAGACCCGAATTAGTGTGGTCACTGGTCACGAACCATCCGATGCTTTGGTGATCATAATTACTCATTTTTTTTTTTTTTTTTTGTTTATCTTAATTGTCTTAATTAAAATGATTAAATTATTTTCATAATTAATGTACTTATGTCCGAATAGTCATACTCTTTGTAACATTTGTAACATCATATTCAAATAACCTTTGTAACTAAAATATTAATATAAAATTAAAATTCTTAAGCTTTGACTCAATCATATATCGTTAAATCTTAAACATTTTATCTGTCTCTACTTTTTTTTTGGCCCATAGGTCTTATACAATAATGTATACTATAACATCTAACCTTATCCAAGCTAGATAATCAGAAAAATAATAGTTATATTTTACCATAAATTTTCAAAAAAAAATATAGAACATCTTCAAAATACTGTAAAATTTTATTAAAATATTGAAAATAAACTAACCTCCAAATATTATATTAATTTATTTAACAACAGAAAAAAGATTCATTATAACATCTCAATTCCATTGAATTATTGGTATGTATACATTTTTTTAAGTATACACTTAAATCTCTCTCACTTATCATTAAGTTCTGGCATCTCCACTGATTGTAATAAGGATAATAAAATAATAAAAATAACAACACAATACTACCTATTTTTTAATATTAATTGTATTCATCATACATTTAATAATAAATTCAATTTACTTGTTTTATAAAAGAAAGATGTTTATTACCTATAATATACATAATATTATTTAACTATTTGAAATAAGATAAAAATCGCTTTATTAATTCCTGAATTCTAGTATTTCCTTGAGCGTAAGGTGGACTATCGTTGGTTATAAAGCTGTATACTCCTTTAATCCTAAAAATTAAACATAAAATATGGCAATATATAGAATAAACTACGTAAAAAATAAATATTGATTATTATAATTCTTTACATTTTAACAAATGGTTGTGATCTATTATGAATACAATATAAGTTTAATATTCAAACGTAATAATAATAAAGGGTACTTTTGTATCTTACCGATAGTCCATATTATACAATATGATTGGTTTTAAAGTTCTCAGAGTATAAATATAGTGTATAACAGATATTAATAATATTGCAAAATACTAAAAATTAATCGGTAAATGTTGATATATATTATAATAAATTCAAACCAGTTCCCTGACATAAATAAAAGGTATATTTATCCTATAATAACTTTTAATTTGCAATGAAAAAAACTGATAGGCTTTTAATATTTACTATCATAATTATTTATATTTTTTATGTTGATTATAAATGTTTATTACCAGTTCATTGAGCTTAATGTGATCTTAACCGAATACTATCAGAGTAAGCGTGATACTAATACTATCACTATGTATCATATTTTAGATAGTTTAAAATCAATACTTACTCGGGGTCAAGATATTCTCCAACCAATATACTTAGTCTTGGAAAACTACTAAAACCTCCCAAAAATGACAGCTGGTTTAAAGAGCTCGAAGTCGTCGCATAAAATCCAGACATGGTTCTCCCATGATAAATTGACTCAGCGTAATACATATATGATTTTGCGTGACTACAAAAGTACCAATACTCTGACAAAAAGAAATTCTTACAAAACAACTATTAAAATTATATAATATTGTTTTTAATTATAAGTCAAATAAATTATTTACAAAAAAATTGATACCAAAAAAAACTTCATATTATAAATAGCAAACTATTTTAATCAAATGGCTATTTAAAATTGAATAACCTTATTTTGGTTTCCCTGTGTCAAACGACATTTTAAATCTTATTTTTCACGGCTGATTGATTAAAAAGCTTTCATTGTACATTGATCTTAAGATCATTATCTCTTTATTTTTTTTTTTGCTCTGATTCTTTTTAATCTCATCGTTGTTCTTACTTTGATTTTATAGACGTGTATACATAAATTAAGTAGCATATACCTTGTATTCTACAACGCTACAAGCATATAATATGTATCACATACTTATCACATTCTTCTTTCAATTATTTTCTTTCATTACATTTTCAACATTACAATAATTTAAAATCTTAAATATATCACAAACCTTTCACTGTGAGTTTTAGAATTATATAAAAAAAAAAAAAAAAAACTTGCATTATAAACAGAATATAATTAATTTATAAAATATTTTGTTGATTCTTTTCACATATTATATTTTATTATATTTATCTTGTTTTCAGCTCAATATTTAATATATTTGAATTCAGTCTATATTGAATACATATTGAATGGTATTTAAAGATATTATTATATGAAAGTCATACATTTTTATTAAATAAAACTATGTATGAATGGAATACTTACTATTATCAGCACATCCCGGCTGTGTAATTGCACCATTAGCGTAAAAATCAACAGTTCCAATTGGCAGCACTTGTCCTAAAAAACCGCAATTCGTATGTATGATATCTACTACAGTCGCACTATTCTCGTCCAAATTGTTCCACGTGTATTCAAAATAAGGTAAAGCTGGATCAAGGCCTGTTTTTCAAATTAATCCTGTGACGATCGGTTTTATAACTTATCAGTATTCATAATTATTATTTGTATATCAGTATATTTTATTATTAATATTATATAATATTAAGCATGTCAAACTGTAGATATTTACAAACAGTATGATCCACTAATCAATTATGATGGCAATCACTATTTTATAATTCAATAAAATAAGCATTTATTTGAATTATGGATTTTTATTATCATATTTTTAATGCTCAGGTTTCGTAAAGAGAATTTAATTCGAGTAACTACTTTAAACTATTCATTTATATTTCGATTAAAATATTGATATTTTTAAAAATATGTTTGATTAAAATTTACAACAAATAAAGAAAATTTTAAATACAACAAATAATAAGTTAGTATCGACATAAATTAAACCCAGATTATTGTGCGTCAGTTTACACTTCTCCCATAAAATGAAATAGCTTTGCCATTTTTAAACAAATAGTAATTTTTATTAAATATATAATAATTAAAAAATGTTTTTATTTTATTTTTTTTTTTTTTTAAATATATATTGAATATTCAAGTGATATAACTGTTGATACGAGTAACATAAAAAATTAAATAAGCATATTATATTTTTTTAAATAATCAAACTTACAATACATACTATCAGTACAGGATACTTTTTTAAAAACATATTGATTAAAAAATTTTTGTGGATATTGGAAAATATAAGTTTTGAATATGCTTCAAAAATCATAATTTAAATAAATGTATTTTTAAAAGATAAAATGTGATTAAGTGTACTTGATGGGACCACTGTGTATATTTTGTGAATTTCTAATCTTGTAATAAATGATCACGATCGACATTTTACGAATAGTGATTTTTACTTACCAGTAACTCTGTTCAAATTTTTATTCTTTTCTTTCAATAGTTTCCCCACAAGACCAGCGATTTGAGATCCTAAGCTGAATCCAATAGCGTGTACGTACTGAAATTGATCGTGTTTTTCGAGGATCGCGACCAAAAATTGTGTTATACATTTGGCGATTATTGGCAAGTTTCGAACAGCGACGTCGTAACATTTTAACGAAGTCGCCAAAGGGTGATAATCTATCGTGATTATATTATATTTTCCTTGTGAGAAATAAGCTAAAAATATGTTCAGATTTTTAGATTAATCGTCAAATGTACTTAAATGTGTCCAATTAGAAGTTTACAAGTTAAAGGCTAACTTAAAATATCGTCAGTAAATTATATAATAAATTTAAAGTGATGCCATTAATAAAAAAAAAAATGTCTCAATTTACGTTAAGACAATTAACTTATTTCGTGACAAAAACTCACCGTTTCTCAATAACTTATTAAATTCGTCGTCTCGCGATCCTTTGACTCCGTGTATTAATATTTTTAAATTAGAAGCCATTTCAAACTGTATGGTTTTGATTGAGTCTTCCGAAATCTCAACAGGATCATCTTTAATCTTACTTTGAACATAAAATATATAAAAATATACACGCGTGTGTGTGTGTGTGTGTGTGTGTGTGTGTGTGTGTGTGTGTGCGCGCGCGCGTGTGTGCATGAGTGAGCGTTCGCACGTGTGTTTAAGTAAGATCGATAAGCTTACGTACTTTGTATAAAAATATAATTTAATATACTCGTTTGGACAGTTATCAGTCGCTTCAATACATATATTTGTGTCACTGTTAGCATTTGCTCCACATATAAGGATAACGAACAATATAGTTAAACCTGAAAAAACTGTTTATTTTTTTTTGTAAATTTTTGTTTTATTTGTTCATTTAAATTTGACGAATCATTAGTATTCGGTACCTATACAGTTTAAATAGAATTAAAAATATCATTATAGTATATACATATTATACATAAACTTAAAGTAAATGTTATGTTGAGAAAAAATCGTAACGATATAAAAATATTATAATATAATAATGGAATATTCTTTTATACCGCTTTAAAAAACAAACAAATAAATAAAAAAATATTTATGAAGGTCCAACTATTGTAATACTTATATTTAATATAATTACACTATACATATTGGACAGCCAACCTTCGATAATTAAAATATTTGATAATTTTGAAATGTTGGTTATTTTAGCAGTAAATTGTCGATCCTATAAAAATTCTGTGGTAGTTCGAGTATAAAAAATGCATTTAGGTACAAGAATGTAAGTTTATTTTTCGAAAAACAACGAAAATGTTCGTTCTAGACAGAGGCCGGTGCCGAGGTTTCAAACCTATTTTTTTTCAAAAGACTATTAACCAAGCTAAACTAAATTTAACACAGCAGAAAAAATATCATAGATTCAAAAAAATATATAAAAAAACTGTATTCAATGTTTCGTATCGCTTTGTATATATACATAAGTAAAATTTATTTATATTATTTAGTATTATACTGTATTATTATTTATTATTGATGATTATTAAACTATACGTGATTATTATATAATATACATTAATTTTTTTCTTAGAAATTCAATTACTCAGTAATTCAAAGATTTTAATATTTCTTTCCAAATTCAAACTATTGAAAGTCGACTACTATACATAATAAATATGAATAATAATTATTGTCATTATATTATCAGCAAAAATTAATATTATTATCATGATTACCTTGTTCTATACCTGACATAATTACTCGACTGCTAAAAAAAGACGTACGCCAGCAAAAGTTTTGTAGTCAGCGTCGAAGTATATCTGTAAAAAAATGTATCCCTACATGCGAAAAATGGCCACTAATTGGTTTGGTGATAGGTGGCATAATGATAAACGACAACACGTAGTATATGTACATGCATCTATTTGACTAATTAAACTTCATACGTGATCAAACATACGGTTTTTGTAATATTTAGTAAACAATGATTTAATATAATATAACATATCAAGCAAACCCACGGCAATTATGTAATTTGTTACTGCAAATGCAGAGTTTAGATATTTTTTAAATTAGTCACTAAAAGATACAATTTTTAGTTTTATTTTAACAGTTTACAGTAAAAAAGAGCAAATCTTTTTTTAAAAACCTCATATTTTAAATTTTTAACACAGAATTAAACATAAAAATTATCTCTTTGAACTACTCGTATGTTATTTTATTAAAAAAAAAAAAAAAAAAATGATCTTGTACATATACTGTTTTATAATTTTTACCGGCAATATTGAAACCAATGTTTATGTTTGTGGTTGATCTTCTTAGAAATATTATAATTGTTTTCAATATGAATTATTTTTATAGAATAAGTTGTTCTGCTATTATAATATTTACAATTTGTTAAATTATAGGATTGTACAGAAATTATACATATTATTATGATTACTTTGAATCTTTATATTAATTACATTTTTTTTTTTTTTTTAATTGATGTTAACGCAAAGAAAAAATATATATTGATATTATTACCCTGCTTTCACAAAAAAAAAAAAAAAAAAAATTACATTAAAAACTAATAAGTAAAAAAAAAAAAAAAAATAGTTATTTTGTAATAATATGTGTTTGCAAATATAGAAGTATTTCACTACAGTAGTATTATAAATTATAATCAAATTATATCAACTAAAAATCTGCCTAACCTACACGCCGTAAATCGTTTAATCGTAATCGTTTAAATGTAATACGATTATAATACCAATTGGTTGCAAATAAAATTATAGATAATAATTAGTTTCTGTGTGTAAATATTTATTTCACCGATGCAAAATTATTATAGGAACATCGTATCGTTAAAATAATGCGACAAACAAACGAAACTAACTCATTTTATGTAATTTTGAATATAACCCATTTTTGTCGTAATAATAATAGCTGTCTATAACTACAAGATTTATATGTATATTTATTTTCAAATTACTAAGTTATTGAAATAATGTAAGTATAGTAATATCAAACGATTACACAGTATGGTAAACAAGACAATACAATTTCGGCAATCATTGTTTTAATGATGAATACGATGCATGATTAGGACGACGCAAATAATAATAATTTTACAAAAATAATCATCAGAATATATTATAAAAAGATTTGTCAATATTTAAAAAATATAAAGTTGACTTTTTTGTTGGTACAACGGCGTGCTTAAGAGGCATCGGCATTGTTAATATTGCCATGAAAAAATATCACGTACAAAATAAGTAAACCATCTTTGATACATTTTTTTTTTTTATTATTTCAACTCATCGATCCATTATCATTAAAAAAAAAAAACAAACGCATAGATACAAGCTAAATCAATTTAAAAATATGTTCTAAAAATTACAATGTAATTTTTTTTTTTTGAAATTATTTGTTAGTTATAAATTATTTGTGTGTATTGATTTCTATGCAAATGTTTTTTATAACCGTTAAATTCTTAAAATAATGTAAATTATGCAGTCTCATAATTTAAACTGAAAACATTTTTTTTTCAAGATTAACAATCTATAATATTGGTATTTATGACAAACGATATCAGATAGGCGTGGTAGAAATTTAATATTAGGTAATGATGATATACTTTCTTAATTTAAAGACATTTTTACTGAAAATAAATTTTAGTTCATCGCAGTGTATCGTAGATTAATTATATTTTTTTTTCAATAAAGTGTAGATAAATCAAATTAGTCAAAACTTAAAATATATTCTTTGTCGAAAATCTGTATATTTAAAATTTGAAATTTCTAAAGCTTATGTACATAAATGATTTTGTTGTATTTAGCATTTACAATTTGTAAACATATCTTAATGCATATTGTATATACTTGATACTATATTTAGCTTAAAATAATTATGATGACTTAATTACTTGAGTACATTGTACGTTATATTATTCCTATAAATGATAATCGTAATGTATTTTATTTTATTGTAGATTTCTATTTGAGTAATCATAGTTCTAATATTTATACAATTATAACTATTTTGCAACAAAAATATAAAATAAAAGCAACTTAAAAGTACACAAAAGTGGTTATAAAGTTTCAAAAATGAAACAAATTTTAATACTATAAATAAAATAATAACATTTTTTATTAATAATTAACATGTCTAAGCAAAAATTTATTTGCTTATTTTCTTCAAAGTTAAGATAGCTTTAAAGTTTCTGTTAGGTAATAATTGTAAATTATTTTAAAATATTAATATATAAGATTTTCGTGAAAAATTTTAAAATTAGGTTTAATTTTATCTTACGAAACTGTTTTAAGTTGAGTGTTTTGATATATTTATAACAATTATCATCATAAATTAACAATTGAAATGTTTTACTATATATTTTCATTTTTCAGTAATTTTTTTTTAATTTTATGTTAAGGCTATCATATTTTATGTTTTTTTTTATTTTTATTTTTTTTTTGAGGAATTTAATTATTACAGTTATTTAACATTCTTCCTGTTAAATTGTAGGTGCATAGAAAGTTTATTGTTAAATAACTATCTTAATTATAATGTAATGTTATGTTAAAATGCTATGAAAACGTAAATTTTCAATTTTAAATATAACATTAAATATTGCACGACACATTCTTAAATATTTTTCATATAACACTCAAAAAAAGAATAATATAATAATAACCCTTAATACATGTTTATTTTTAATATTATACTTATGAGTTTAAAAAAAAAAAAAAATGAATTTATACATTTTAAAATATTTACTATATAACATAAACAAATAGTTAATTGTCATTATTTGAAAAAAGAAATTCAAAAACAATTAATATTAATGCATTGATTTTATATTTTATGCAACAGAATAAAAAAAAAAAATGGCATTTATACCACGTTTTAAATAGCTTAAAAAAAAAATTTAAAAAAATACTAGTCTTAAATGTTTGTAAAATAAATTATATTATACTATGTTCAAGATAAACAAGTTTATATCCTTATTCAAAAAAAAAAAAATAAAAATAACCCGTTGACTGTTAATATTGTATAGTATATAAGTGTAAATTGTTGTATTAATTGAAAAAATAGCACTTCTTGATCTCTATTTTGATAATTGACTGGTTAGATAATTTAATTTATAGTAAAATGTATAGTTAAAAGATTGAAGTCAAGTACAGAGTATTGAAACTCTAATATCACAAACCAACATTTGTGAGGAAGCTTTTCAAAATAATCAAAATTTAAAAGTAATTTAAAGCCATTTAAAGAACCTTAACATCAACTATTTTTTTTTTTTTTTTTTTTTAAGAGCATACTCGAGGTTATTAACTTATATTTAATTATTAATAATAATATATACATTTTGATATATATATATATATATATATATATTTTTTTTTTTACATAAAGATTAATTCATTGAAAATTTAAAATGATTTAATAATTCCATATGGATTTCCTGTCAAAGATAATTATTTTTTTGCCAATTCGGTCAATGGATGACAATGTATATTTATGTAATTTTGTACATTTCAATAGAGGTTCATTCATTTCCATATGGCATAACTGAAATACTCGGTGTAAAAAGTGCTGTGCCTATCTAATTTTACTTCTCATTTAATTAATTTCAACTAATAAGATTAAGTCAGAGTTCAACCGTTTTTATTTTCAAACTGTGTTCCAAAACATTGTGCCATACATTGATCTGGAGAATAGCCCAGTGTTTGTTTATATTTGTATTTACTTACGTCAACTAATGATGACAATTATTTTGTTCCAACAATAATTTACGTTATTTATTGTGTTTTCAGTTTTACAATAAAGTACCTTTTATATTTCAGGTCTTCGTTGTTCATTTGAGATGTATTAAATTATTGGATTGATGGATAACATTGTCAATTTTTAAAGAAAAAAAAACAATTAGAACACCACTATTAACATTATTTATGCCGCTAAGTGAATAGGAAGAGATGTCAATTTTTGCTTTAACTGTTACAATAGTTATTTGAAATCCTTTAAAAAGGGCCACATATGCGACTATGTATATGATACCACAAATGTTTAATTTAAACTGCAGGATTATAAGCCTGTAAATGACTTAAAGATGTTGTAAAATATATAATATGTTAAATCAATTCATTACGTAATCAAATGTCCAGGTCTGTGGTGTCTATGAAACAAGTGACAATAGAACGATTGTTTGTCTACTCTTCAAGCAGTGTTTTTTTTTATGTAATTGTAATGTTTTATAGTTTTCTATAATATGGTTACAATACTATTTTAAACTTGACATATTTTATATATATATAATATAAATTCTTCTTTAATGTATTATAATATTATAGGTACTTATTCACCATTAAATTTATTTATGAAAATTGACCTCATCCTAAAACAATCTCATGATCCACTTTTAGTCTAGATGATTATAATACTTAAGAAGAAAATGGATATTACGAATAAAGTAAAATACTGTGGTAATATATTTTTATGGCAGTTAAGTGTATGTACATATCTCAGCACAATATTTAAGACGAACATTACAAGCATTTAAATGCTTAATATGTTTATTCTTGTGATCAGAAGCGACAGGTCTTAAAATGCTATTACTCATAAACTGTGATGATACGAATGGTATCATCACATGTATATATCTTAAACATTAATATACAGAAGAAAACGTAACTGAAATTGTTTATTATACATTTAAAAACAAAAAAATAGACACACACACAGCTATCAATTAGTACTATGTTATGATTTTTAGTTAAACGGACTCTCTGACAATAACTTATACTTTTTTCAGTTTTGTCTCTGTCTAACTCTACACATAATCATAGTCGAGTAAGGTGAGAAAATTGACTAATTCACATGATTTTTATTCAGACCGAATGTTGATGGTAAATACCCTATTAAGATTATTGAGCACATAGAATCAAGTTTTAGAGATCCCTACATAAAATATAAAAAATGTTCTATAATATATAATATTTTTATTTTTATAAAACATTAAATGATTCATATAAAACTGGTCTAGCTTAAAGTAGAAATACATTATTTTTTTTTTTTTTAGATCACGAGTTATATATATATTGCATAAATTTGTCATTACTCTAACAACAAAATAAAATACCAAGAAGAAAATTAAGAGCTGTCATAATATGCTAAATATTTGTATTCATAGTAACAATTAAACATATTAGTTTATTTTTTTTTTCACACAATATTAAAGTACAAATTACAATATTATAAATCTATGGTATGAAATTAGAGGCTTCAAAAGAATCTCAAGCATTGTAACCTAAGAACTGTGCTTCTTCCTCTGAATCCTTAAACTGAACTTGATCATCAGAACACTAGAGTTCTTGAACTTGATACTTAATCCTGTAAAGAACCAAGTCATTTACATACATTAAAATATATTTGAATTGCTTTTTTAAGTCATAATTAATATTTGTAACAATATCTAAAATTAAATTGTTTTTATGTTAAATTTACCTAATCTACTTTGAAATAATTAGAAAAAAAAAGCACATAAAATATAACTTAACTATACAACTATAATTATAATTATTTTGTTGATTTTTTTTTAATTGACCTAATCTATGATGATTAACAGTTTTAACGTATAAGCAATTTACAAAATACCATAGTCGTGTTTCCCTTCTATAGTAATTATATGCTTAGATACAAGTGTAAATGGTATGCTGATACTTTTACGTGTTTACACTATACATTTATTTAGGTATGTGTATACATTTCAAGGCTTTTTGGTTCAATTATTCTTTTATTTTCTTTGTTTTTATTTTGTTTGGATTACAACAAAACAACTTTATGTTTCAAATGTTAGCACTTTAAAATCTTAAGTCCTGAGTCAAATACTTTTAAAGTTAAAATCCGGTCAAATGTGGTCAAATCCTATCTTGAAGATTATATAGTGTAATTCAGCTAGCCATAGAAATAAAATAATAAAACTAAATGCCAAAAAATACTTAATATTATATATATATATATATATATATATATATATATATGTTACTGACAATATGAATAATCCGGTATTTTTTTAAATGCCTAGACATTATGTAAAATGCCGAAAATCACTCGACAATATATATAATACGAGCTTTGCCTAGGCATTATGTATAATGCCAAACGTCAATTAGAAAATATGATAAAAATAAACAAAATTGGGTACCATCTTGTTTAGTCACGAAGCTCCTACGATTTAAGTGGTCGGCCTCGATGACTACACCACCGAAAAGAATATATACCAATAATTGTTGAGAACTGCCTAAAGAAGAGGTGACCATACAAAATGTAAATATTTGAGCCGTATTTAAAACGTATATCAGTTGTATGCCAGAAGTCAGTTTACAATATGTCAAAAAAATCTACTACAAATTGACGAAGTCCCATCAGACACAGAAAGTAGCGTTACGAACAGTCGACAGGAACTGGCCAAGGATTTTTAAAATTCCTTTGTAAGACCAAGTGTCAAAATAAAAAGTGCATTTGTCTTAAAAAATAACGTTTTATGCACATCAAAATGTTATTTTTCAACAACATGTTGTAATAAGTAGCTATAATAATAATATCAATAATAATATATATATACACAATATAATAACATTAAATAATTTATTTTTTACTTTGCCAAAAAAAAAAAAAAAATGGAATTTTACATAATGCCTAGGTATTTAAAAAAATACCTAAGTTATATGTAAAATAATATTTAAAATCCTATGTTTTATTTACATTGACTAAAACCGGTCGGCAATATGCATAATACCTAGTCATTTTGCAAAATACCTGAATTATCCATAATGCCAGTAACATATATATATACTATAGGTACTTGTAAAGGTAATAAAAGTAAATTTCAATCAATACTCAATAGTCAAGAACTAAAAATATTGCATCAGGATAGCATATAAGTAAACAGAGGTTTGCTACAGAAAAGCTATACACAATAATTAAAAAAAAATAAATAAAAAAATACAGCCGAATACTGTGATCAAATATGATCTTAGGAACAGCGTTTCTTATATAATTTTTATTATCATTATCTTTCCACACTTGATAGCATTTTAACAATAATTGTATGAAACAACAATGCTCAATCAACTATTATTCTTATAGCACCACTGGTATCGAATATAACAAACGAAATATATAGTAATAATTAGTAAATTATTGTGACCGATTATGGTAACAAATGTGTAATAATAATGTATAATAATTTTGTATTATTATTATCCTATTACAGTAAACATACAATTTATATATTTATTTTGCGGCTCCGTGCCTTCATGTGTCTGTGTTACTTATTTTTCCAGCGGAAATTTATGTATATTTAGATATTAATTACAATGATGTTTTTTTTTTTTTTTAATATATAAATACATTGGATTTTAAATATTTATATATATATTTATTTTAAAACATATTATTATTTGCTTTTATTTTTTAATTAAAATTATGTTTATAGTAGGTATTTTATACCTGTATGATTTAAATTACATAAACATTTCTACTTTTAATTAAATAAATAAAAAATATTTCATTACAATATTTGATGAGTATATTTTGAGCTTAGTGGTAGTAGATTTAAAACAGAGATATATTGCAACCAATTAACAAAAAGTTTATACTTAAATTATCTGGACACCCCTCCAAAAAACATTCTATTCTAAATACACCACTGCAACATGAATATTATGCAATTTAAAAATGTAAATAACGCTAATCAGTGTACACACGACATCAGGATTCTATAACCCTCAATAGTTTTTACTTCCTCCTTCTAAATTATACTAGATAAAAGTTACCGAGAATAAATATAACCTAGTATAATTTTACCACTAGTAAAAATGTCCTACCTACTATATGTTATTTACCTTGGACAACTATAACCTAGGATATATTTTTAGAGTGATGATAAAATCAGTGGGTGTGAAAATCATCCGTTACTTCATAAAAAGTTTGAGAACTACCGTTTTATATAGAATATCATTAATTAAAAAAAAAATAGCCAGATAGCGCAATGATTTGTTAGTCAGTTTGTCGTATTAAAACTGTATTAAAAATGTTATGATATATTTGAATTTTAATTATTTTCTTAAATAATCATATAATTATTGAAATCTGAGTTAGTTCAGAACCATATTATGTTGCATTGCCGAATAGTCGGTTTTTAATTCAATTCTAAAACACAACTTGTGCTTTGGTATTCATATTTATATAATAATTCTGATTACCAGGCTTGTTTAACAACAAATAATATGTAAATTTTTCAATGTTTATGGCATTGCCATGAGCACCTGACTTCATATAAAATTTTATACTTCCACGTATACAGTAATTTCATAGGTTGGATTACACAAAAATACGGTGTACGATGACAAAAAAAAAAAAATAAATAAATAAATAAATAATAACTGTCTCGGACGTTTTGATTTATGTATAATATATGAGAGCACCGAGTGCAAAACACAAAAACGAAAACATTCACAAAAATTGATAAATTGCTTGCGTTTATGTAACAGTGGATGTTAATCTAATGTAAAATATATAAAATACCAACAAACTTCACATTTTATTGTTTCAATCGCGATATTAAAATGAGCTTTTCACGCGTGCGCGCGTGTGCACACACACACACTTTGTCACTGCGCAGAAGCTTATATAATTTTAATAACCATTTCGTTAAAGTAGTAAGTGACCTTCTACGATGAATATATCTAATTTATTGTCATTAATCTATGCTATAATAGCAATTAAATACAATTATTGCCATGCGTAATATACTTTAGTAGTGTAGCGTGTATTGTGTGCTTTATGATGTAATGATATTATGTCATCTGTATAGTGAATAGAGTATACGTATTATTATCAAAAATGGATCAGTTAACTAATTGTTTTAACTTGTTAAGTTAATTTAGACAAAATAAAAGTTAAATTCAAATTGAAAAAATATATTTATTTGACCGAGAATAATAGACTCTACTAACTAAATAAATTAATTATTTAAGTTATTTTTGGTAAATTAATTTTTTTTTTTTTTTTGAGGTCATGTGGCATCGATTTCCTTTTAAATATATAACCTAGTTATCAATAGTATTAAGATATTTTAAATGTATGTGTTTGAGTAAGATTATATACGAATATTTATATAAAATTGTATATATATTTTATATTCGTTAGTTTTATCAGAGTTTAAATTTAAAAATAGTGTTCTCAATACTTCCATCGTCTCAAATTTAGAATTTGCAGTATATAATATCAATATTACAAAATTATAAATTTTGCGTGAATAAATATTATTTATTTTATTTTATTCTTTTTTAAAATACTAATTTTTACAAAAAGAAATATTCGTTAAATTATTTATGGTTCATATAAAACACAATAAAATTATCTAATAGATCAGTTACATTATTACATGAAATAATAAATTCAAACTTAAAGAAGTTAAAAGAGTTTTTTAAGAATAAATACATTTTTATTTTTTATTTAATTTAATTGTATTTAACGTTTTCACTTCCTTCAATTGTGTCTAGCAATATTATTGCATATTATTTAACTTTGGCACAAATATGTATTATTTTTTTTTTGTAATGTATATACATTGTTTACTCTATTTTTGAAATCAGTTATAAATCAGTTATTAAAAAAAAGCATTATCAGATACAACTATTTTGTGTGTACTAACAGCACGTCAATATTATTGCTGCCCGTGTATAATTTTTACCATAGCTATATTGGTAAGACATTATGTACGGGGCATCTGTCATACCAATTTGTTCTGTATAAAAGTGAAAAATAAAAATAAAACTAACGTTATTTCAATATTATTAACTTTTTATGCAAACGAGAACTATTGTTGTGAAATAGCATATCGATCGTACTTTTAAAATGTCAAATAACTGTCAAAATGTCTGCCAATAATTTGTATTATGGCTGCAGGCTGTAATTCGGTTCTTATTATACTTCGACATAGTTCAAGTTACATTTTTATGTGTAAAAATTGTTAACACTTTGTTTGTATAATATTTTAATCGATTGGAATATTTTAAAAACTCATGTAGAATGTATTATTTTAAGTTGATAATATTCCATTACATTCACACTAACGTCTTAAAAACATTTTTTGTTTGTAACTTAGACTAGAAGATTCTTATCATATGTTCATGTGTTTTATATCTATAATAAAGTAACTTTGTATAATATAACCGCAAGGAATGTTACTCAACGCTGTAAATACATTACAAATTGCCAATCACAGTACAATATAATTATCAAGTGTATTTTGATATTACTTCTTTTTCAAAAGCAAAACGTATAGTTACACAAACGATTGGATAAAGCTTTTGCTTTATAAATAATTTACTTACATACGCGAATGAAGAAACTTGATAAAAACCTCTCGAACAAGTCTCAAAACTGCTATTCATAAGTATCTTAGTTTCGTTTCTATGAACTATAAGTGTCCATTTATTTTAAGTTCACTTTGAGATAAAACTTTAATACAATTTTGGAATACAAATATCTTTTGGAAGGTCTTTATCATTCTATTAACTTTTAGACCCATTCCATATTTTACCATTCAACTATTAATACAAATTTAATTTAAAGTTTAAAGTTGGGATTTGCTTAAAATCTTACTTTGATTTTATTTAATGTATAAATATATAATCTTCATAGTATTTTTTTTTTTTTTTTAGTATCTTTATTATTTTAAAGTTTTATAGACAATAATATCTATTAAATATAGTTATAAAACACAAACTATACACAAAGATATCTTTTAACTTGCTTTATCTTAAATTATGCGGTGCTCAAGTTAAAAGACTAAAATTTCAAAAATATACACAGTGAAAAAGTATTGTACTTTTGTGATATCTTTTATAAGCAATTTATTTCTAACTTCTCACATGAATTCACACACTTTGTTTCTTTAATATGAACATGGCTTATCTCGATATTATTATACCAAGAAAAAAGTATGTTTTATGAATATATATAATTAAAAGTGACCTTAGCCATATTTTTGGTTTTGGCATTATAAATTTATATTTTTTGATTGAAAAATTGATTGTTTTTGAAATTTGGAACATAAACCATTTCAATTATGTTTCAACGCAAACTATGACTAAATAAATGTAAATAACTTATACAGTCATATTAGTCAACATTCTTCACATACAGTTTTTCTTTGATCTGTACTGTTTAGATGCTGAATCAAGAACTTTAAAGTGTGCTATCTAAAAATGTGATAGTAACCTATAACTATTTTTAATGTTTAGTAAATTTTATGTCCAACTGCTCTAGCTTATACAAATATCAGAAATTATTTTTCCCATTGAAATCTAGTTCCTCATTGTTTTGGTTATTTATACATTTCTATCCTAACTTGACTATTGATTTAAAACCTATATATTAGGACTTTTGAAACTACCTGTTTTCAGTCAATTTTTTTTTAATTCTATCAGAATTGACATTATTATATGTGCGCATTTCGTTACAAGTACAGTAGACCATGGATGATATTATATTTATAATTTTGTAAATTGTACATTCATATACTATACTATAATTCAATTAGTTGTCAACTAACTTGTATAATGTGCGTAGCATCAATGATATCAAATATTTCTACAGTTGATAATTTTGAATTTTTCTAGAACTAACGACAGTAGCTAAATTCTTCTTATGGTTGGCTATGTATTCAACAATGTGGATGAGTTCTATAAACGTTCTTTGCCTTGTGTTGGCTTTATTTAGGGTAACCATACGTCCCGTTTAAAACGGGATTGTCTCTTTTTTAATCATCATGTCTCGTTGTCCCGATTAACTTCGAACAGAACGCTTTTTATCCCGTTTTTATATCGTTTTAATCCCGTTATTTCCATATAAATAAATAATGTTTGTAAAAAAATATCAATGTATTAAAAAAAATTAAGAAATTTTAAAAAGAACAACATATCATAATTATTATTTTATTATTTTAATTAATTGTAACTTAAATATAATTGGAAACATAAAAAATTATCACATTAATAAAAAATTGTTTGTCCCGTTTTTTTATTTTCATTTTTTATAAAAATGGTCACCCTATTTTATATGTATGTAGGAATCTTAACACCATATTTGAAATAATATAATACTGATAAGTGGTAGCAAAAATATTAATTGTAAGAATACTTTTACAACAAATACTAATTTCTCAAACAAAGCAGCAAATAAGATGAATTAAAATCGATATTAATTATGATTTTTATAAGGCCTACAAGTATTTTGTTTTTTTTTTAAGTACTTATAGTAATATAATGATATTTTTATTGCACAATAAGTTACTTATCTAATATTAAAACTATTAACCATCTAAACTAAAATGTCCAAAAATAGTTAAAATTACGTTTAAAAAATAGTAGATATACTATTTTTTTTGTATTTATGTAGTATTTGTATATAATATATTAAGTAAAATCAACAACAGTTTGCGTGCTATCACTATAGTTATATAAGAACTATATTATTATAATACATAATATTAAGCTATGTATTATTCAATATATTTTTATTAATATAATAAAACACGATAAATTTAATTAAATGTGCTTAATTATTATAATTTTGGATAACACATTTGTTCAGTTAGTACGTTATCGTTTATGCGTTTTTTGGAATACAAAAAAAAACAAATCCTCGATTACCAAGAAATTTGTTTAATTTATTTTTATCATTAAAATAAGTAAATAATCCAACTTTTGTAGTAATTTTTTATAATATATTGTATGACTTATACTGCAGTTATGAAACAAGATATATTTTACTTCACAAAGAGCTTTATGTACCGGTGAATTTTCGCAGTTTGTGTAGATAACGTGTTCTAAGGTACTAACTAAACAAATCTCTTCTATATTAGATTAGATAATTCGCTTAAAGGTTAGATATATTAAACAATAATGGATCTAGTTACATTTATTCGTTTTTTATAAATGTCGTATTATAATTTTGATATACAATTTAAAAGCGTACATATTTTATAATTAACCATGTCTGTAATGCGCATTGATTTGGAATATTTATTCTATGAGTAATTATAATAATACATAATACTATTCTATCCTGGTATATAGTACATAGTTCAAATAAAAGAGATTTTTGATTTTAATGTAGTTTTTTTTTTATCAATAACCAATATTAATTATTTTTGTTATTAATTTCTTTAAGGTATCAGATCTGATTTATCTAACTATTTGCATCATACCTCGAGAAATATTCAGATTTTGAATGAAAAAAATTACTAATTAAAATATTAAGACTTAATTCTGATTGAATTGGACTTTAATTTAAAAAAGCTATGTTGTTCAATCTATAAATATATCACATGTTTTCGAACATTTTGAAAATATATTTTTTTAACGCTAATCAAATTAATTAAAATATTAGTTCAATTTAAAACTACATGTATTAATTAAGCCCCACTTATTACATCTAGATATTATGATTTTGGTATTACCTATCTTTCATATGGTTTAATAAATGTTGTATTGTCACCCCTTTAAGTCACTAGATATTGACATAGTTGAATTAGATGCAAAAAAAAATATAATATAATTTGAGTCATCTAAATAATAAGACAATCTTAAAGTTTTATAGTGATGCTTGTACTCAATATTCAAGATAATTAATGTCTGTTATTAATATAATTTAAAAAATAATTAAAACTGTAATGGATATAATTTGAACAAATTTCTTTACGATGTATGAATATTCAGCTCATATTCAAGATTACTGTCCAAATTTATGGATATTTTCAATAATGAACAGTTTCAAGAAATCAGACGCTAATTTAAAAACAATAAAAATTAAATATTTTTAACTATTATTAATATAATAATCTGTTCTATACTTTTAATATAGTTATTCATAACTTAAAAATACATTTTTGCATTAAGTAAAAAAAAATATATCTACTAATAAAATATAATATTTATAGCAAGCTTTGACCACAGTATTAAATCTGTATACAAATTTGTCAAAAGATGTAATTAATCAAAAATAAGCTTGGTCAAAGCTTTTAGTGAAACTTTACCTTATAATAATGTATTAACTTTTTAGATGTTTATAGTTAGGTCCTTTCAAACATAAATGATGGAGCCAAGAGTGTGCACGTCTTTTTGCTTCTTCGTTTATCACGTGTTAGGGCCTATATATTATTACGATTTAATTCAGGATCATGAATACAGATTTATAATTATAGATTATTTTTACCTTCTTTGTAACACCGGAGTCTACGTGTGTTATTTTTACTTGAAACGATAATATTCTTTCTATCCTTAATGTACTTTAGTATAAAGATATATTTTCTTACCTGATAGGCGTTGATAACCGGATGTCAATAATATTAAAATGTAAATTTAACATACATTAAATAAATTAAATAAAAACAATAGTTCGAATAAGGTTTATGACACTATCTTAAAACTTAACAACGAGTGAAAAATCAATTTAGACTGTTAAATTAATACTCTCTTGCTTTTGAGAATAACGGTGGTGAGCTTCTGTGAGGAAAGGCTGGTGACCGGATGTAGACTACTCGGTTGAGACAGAATTCTTGATGGAGACATGACTGACTTTAATGTCAGAATGGAGGTTCTACTTATAGACTTGATATTTTACTTGTTTTTCCATTTTAATTTGTTATTGTTTATTTTATATAAATGCATTCGTATTCTAAAAACATATTTTTTATGATATAAAGTATTTGACAAATGAAAATTATATTATTACCAATTGTTTGGTGATTATTTTAATATATGATTGTAGTTTGTAAATACACATGTTTATTGGGTGTTAATGGTAATTTATTAGATATTGTAATATAATATAGTATAATTATGAATATAAGTGTTAATGATATAATTTTAATTGTTATAATAATATTGTTTATGGATATGATTATTATTTACTAAACATTAAGATGAATGATGAATAATATTATTATGATTTTTAATTATAAAGCTTTGTGGCATAATAATGTGAATATAAAAAATTACAAAGATATGCAAAAAAAAAAAGCGTCGATATTGTTTTAACTTATTTACCAATTATAATTCTATAAACAATCTCAACCCACTGCTAAATCTCCAACGCAGATAAAATAATCTCGGCAATACTGCAAAAACATGTCCAAAAAATTGAAATATTAGTTGGTAATTATGAATTAAGACTTTGTGTAATTTATGTTATATAACTATGTAAAAACGTTTCATAAATAGAACGACGACTTTATTGGGACCGTTGGAGAAAGATTCGCTGAAAATAGCTTACCGCCGAAATGAGAACTAACAGCTTAATGCATGCTCCTTATTCCTATGGGAAGCGTTTCGATCGTATAGTGACATAATGTGTATCCAATAAAACATTTATATATCCATTATCCAACTATCCGAGGTTAAAATAAATTTATAAATAGAAAGAGACACTGTTACATATCTATTGTTAATAAAAGTTGATCGGGATTAACCTATAGTATACATATTACGGTGTTTAGAATTGTTCAATTTCATAAACGAATGAATAACTTTGGTCACGCAATGATTCATTTCCAAATTTTAAAATTTTGTTTGAAACTGAAAACGATTATAGTCTTAAACTAAGTACAATATAGAATACCTGGATTAAAACAGAATATAAATAAAATTATAAGCGTTACACAAGTCAACACAGATGTATTTGAACAGATAAATATGGTATACCTCCAGGTATAACATCACGTTAATAACCTTCATTTTAACATAACATACTTGTTATTAATTATATAATCATTAATTATTACAGTAAACTATATCATTTTCTAATTAAAATTATTACGTATACACAAATTATTCGAACAAAATAGTGTTTTATTTAAACAAAAACATGTAAACAATAAAAAATTGAGTTTCTGGTTACTATAGGTAACAATTCATTTACAATGAAACATTACCAATAATTTTTTTTTATATAAATATATATCAAGCTTCAAATTCCTGATTCAAAATATAAAATTAAAACTAATAATTATGTTGATAACAATAAACCTATACTTTATTAAATAATGAAACGTGATACAAATAACAGTAAATATTTTCTATATCATGCGTAAGCAAGTAAGTTATGTAAAATTCGCATGATTAAATTATTCTCATTTATACTTTGTCAGGAACAATTAATGGCCATGTAGAAGATTTAATTACTAATTTAATATCATAGACAAACTAAAATTAATAACAAAATAAAATATAGTATATAATATCTTGAATAGTCTTAAATATATATAATAATTTTATTATCTATACCTAGAGGTAAAAAAATCAAATATACTACTCACTCACTTAATAATTATAACTTCTCAAAAACAAAATGGTTAGTTATTCATCTAATTCTTTAAATATGTAATAAAACAGAATTTTACGAATTTCGAATTTTAAAGATGGATTTATGCAAGGATTTTGTTTAGGCAAACAGAAACTGAATATTTGTTTGTTTAAATAGATTTTCCATTGATTACAAAGAATTAAAATTAAATAGTTATTTATTATTTTTGGATATAACTTCAACTTTATATTTTGAATTTGATCATAATCACCGAAATTAATATGTTAAAAATATAACGTGTAATTTAAGAAGAGATAAATCGACGGTTATTTAATTTATCATGGGTAATAATGTGCAAAAATAGTTAGTACATTCATACAATATATTGTATACAAATTATAAAAAAGCAATAATAGCAATTATCTGTGAAAGTAAACTCAATAAAATAAAGTCGACATGATTTCACATAGAAGATATAATGCAACCAAAAGGTGTCGTAACAGATTTCATAAACTCACACCAACGCATCCGAATTTAATCAAGTTATTTGGGTCTAAGTTAAATAAACAAATATATGAACGCTGCATATTTGTTTATTATACTTACCTCTCGAATACCATTCATCAGTATTGATATTGTTATGGTTCCTGATTATAATTATTTTATTGATATTAATTCATTTTAGTAAATATTTTGTTTTCAATTGCATATTCATTAATAATTATTATTGAACTGAAACAAAATAATGGCTCTAAAAAAAAAGAAAAAATACTTTACTGTTAAATAAGTTTTAATTGTATTTCGTTATTGAGTATTACTCACTATAAGATATATATATATATATATATATATATATATATATATATATATATTAATCTTAGATTTAAAGTAGATCCAAATAGTTAAAATTTATATTTTATTTTTATTTTTAAAACTATAAAAACCTATCATAGTAAACTTTTCAGAGAATTAAAATACCAAAATACAATATATATTATATAAACATGATAGTCCTTTTTCATACACAATGTTCATGATTTTTATACCTTTGATTAGTATCTGCCTATTTATTATAACGCTTACAATGGAAATTTAAATATAAAAATGTATCAAAAAAGACCATAATAGTATGTGATGTTCAATTTAGAACTTGTTTTGAGTATGTTTTATATCAATAAATCATCCTAAGTCATACGACTTATATATTACATCGGGAATACGTATTTAATCATAATAATGTATTACATAATGTTCAGGTACAATGAAGATAAATTTACTTAAATTCGAGTATTTAGTAATATTAATAACGATAAATTAATACATAATAACAAAATATTATAGTTTTTTACTTCTGTTATATTTTAAAATTACTATACAAATTTATATATTACAGAATAACTATTAATTTTCATAGATTTCAAACGAATCAAATACATGTAATAATTAATTATTACGGTTCTTTTATTTGTTGATACAATCGACGATGACATTGGTAACATACTATTTACAATGAAAGTCGCGATGGTCATAATATTGGATGTCCAATATGAGTATAGGTAAGTAGATAATATAGTATGAAATATGTGCATATTAATATTATAGGAACTTAAAAGTAAATTTCCTATATAATTATTTCGGTAAAAAAGTTTTTTATACCTACACTAATCAAGGTCACAATCATAGAATGTAACACGTATCGTTACAAGTAAATTTAAATTTTTGAGAATTGTCAGTGAAAAACAAAAAATTATATTGACTATTATTAACAAACACGGTTTACACAATTTATCTTTGTGTAATCAACTACATTTTAGTGATTTATTCTTGCTATTATTTGTTTTAGTTTTATGATATTACTAAGGTTAATAAATTAGATACATTAGTATCTACTGACCATGCATCAGAGGTTTGACTATGTCAACAATTCATATACGATGTGCATAATTACACAGATTATCCATCATTTTTATTTTTTTATCCGATGACGACCGCTACCGTTACCGTATAGTAGGAACTTTAAATATAATGATACTGACAGACACCGAGTACGCATATACAAATAAATATTTATTATACAACGTGTGTGAGAGAGAAAAAATAAGTAATATAAATAGGTGACTATACGCAAGATACGATGCTAATTATAAAGAATATTGCATAAATCGCACTAATGGTTCAATGGTTTGTAGGTACTACTTAAATCTTAAGTTTTCGCAATATTATGCCAGTTTTTGATGGTCGGTCACGAAATGTAAACTATTACCACGATCACGAATACTAAAGTATTTAATAAAATACAATATATGTGTATGATATATAAATAAAACTGATTTTCTACTTAGGTTGTTTTCCATGTGTATTCCCAAGTGGCCATAATAGTGTTATACCAAAACAGTAGGTAACTAAACCATATAGTCTACTATTATATACCATTATAAATTATTTTATCTACATTTGGTAGACCTGTTTAATTTAATGTTGTCATGTAAATTCGACTATAAACTTAACTTGATCAGACTACTATATTAACATAATATTTATATTATTAACGTATTTTAAAACCGTACATATAAAATTATACGTTTAGAAACCAGGAAGTGTTATATGCGTCAATAGTGTATATTATTTTAATATAGTGTGTTTCCGCAATATATTGTTAATATAACTTATAAAATATATTTTTTTTTCTAACGCATTATTGAATTCATGTTTTTTGATTACATTTACGAAGTATTTATTATGTGTCTTAAAATAATTTTATTAGTTGATTTATAAATGTATATAGGTATAGCAAAAATGGTTGTAATAAAAAGTTAGGTTCTTACAGCGCTCATCTTTTTGCCGATAATTTTGACATAATATTATAACTCGAACACTACATTTTCGTCACAATATGGTAAACGTTTTTTTATCATACAGATAAAATCCATTCCTTTCTCAACTGTAATTTCTGATGCAGTTTGTGTACAATATTTGATTACACTACACAAGAAGATAATATTCAAACCTCTTTAGTACGTTTTCAGAATACAATAACTGCAGGTTTTAGATACACCGACAAATCGATCGATAAAACAATGCATTCATTAGTGAAGAATTCCAAGAAATCATGAAATGTCCGATGTGTGTGTATAAGTTATTAAGATTTAAGAGTATAATAATAATCTTTTAATTTCATGTTGGCCTCGGTGTCTGTCTCGCTTTAAGTTTTTTTTTTTTAAATATATAACGTATAAATGTATTTATTTATTATTATTTTTTTTTATTAAAAAAGTATACTATAGCATTTAATATATATATGTGTGTGT